CGGGTGAGGCGCGGCCGCGGCGGCTCGGGCGGCCCCGGTGCCCCCCGGGGCGGCGCCTCACCCTCGCTCTGTCTCTTCCAGGCGCCGCAGCAAGTGGGATCAGCCCGGCCCGGCGCCCAGCTTCCTGCTGGCCGGCACGGCGCCGCTGCCCGGGCGGCCGTTCCCCGGCGGGGGCAGCGATGGCGGCGCCGCCGTGGCCGGCTCCGAGAGCTCGGCGGCGCCCTCGGGAGCGCTGGATGCGGCCGCGGCCGTGGCGGCGAAGATCAACGCGATGCTGATGGCCAAAGGGAAGCTGAAGCCGGCGCCCAGCACGGCGGACAAGGTGGGCGGTGGTTCGGGAAATTGGCTGCGATAAAAGCAGTCAAAAATAATTTTTAAAATGTTTTTCAGCGTAATAAAAATCACTGGATGGATGTGAGGTCAGGCAGCTGTGAGGTTTTACCAAAGCCACCTGTAGGGAGGTGATAAAGTTGTTTTTTTCTCAGAATCGTGGAATATTCTGAGTTGTAAGGGAGCCACGAGGATCCCTTAGGGAGGTGATAAAGTTCTTTTTTTCCTCAGAATCGTGGAATATTCTGAGTTGTAAGGGAGCCACGAGGATCCTTCCAGAGAGCAGAGCTGCTGGGAAACTCCCGTGTGAAACAAATGCTTTAAAATATGGGACCAAATGATTTTTGTGCCTGAAGAAGTTCCCAGTACGAGCTGTATATCCAAACTGTAACCAGTTTATTCAGCTTTTGCTGAGCCCTGCCCCGAGCCAGGTTGACCCAGATGAGCTCAGGCATTGCACTGGATGCTCCCCGTGTTCCCCTTAAATAATCTCTGAATTTTCTATTTTAAACCAAGTGTAACCTCAAGCTGCTTTTCCAGCTCCAGTGATATTCTTGTCTTGCTCTTCTGCCTGTGCTGGAGCCAAGTTCAGGAGCTGTTTCAAGTTTCATGCAGTAATTCCAATGTGCTTTCCACCAATCTGTGTAAAGACTTTACCCTGAACAGCTAAAAGGGGTGAACAAAAAGGATGTTATTCTATTAATTCTGTTAATATTTTATTAATATTTTGTTTCTGTGTGCTGAAGATAAATCAATTTTATTTGAGCTGTGAGGAGGCAGATCCAACTGTAGCTTCAATGTGCTTTCCACTAATTTCTGTAAAGATTTTACCTTCAGCAACTAAAAGGAGTGATCAAGAGGGATGTTATTCTATGAGTATGTGCTGGAGATAAATCCAGTTTATTTGGGCTGTGAGGAGGCAGCTCCAGCAGTAATTCCAATGTTCTTTCCACTAATCTCTAAAGATTTTGCCTTCAGCAACTGAAAGGGGTGAACAAGAGGGATGTTATTCTGTTAATATGTGCTGAAGATAAATCCAGTTTCTTTGGGCTGGGAGGAGGCAGATCCAGCAGTAATTTCAATGTGCTTTCCACTGATCTCTGTAAGGATTTTGCCTTCAGCAGCTGAAAGGGGGGACCAGGAAGGATGTTATTCTGTTAATATGCTATTCATATGTTATTCAATGAATTCTGTTAATGTTCTATTAATGTGTTATTCTGTTAATATGTGCTGAAGATAAATCCAGTTTCTTTGGGCTGGGAGGAGGCAGATCCAGCAGTAATTTCAATGTGCTTTCCACTGATCTCTGTAAGGATTTTGCCTTCAGCAGCTGAAAGGGGGGACCAGGAAGGATGTTATTCTGTTAATATGCTATTCATATGTTATTCAATGAATTCTGTTAATGTTCTATTAATGTGTTATTCTGTTAATATGTGCTGAAGATAAATCCAGTTTCTTTGGGCTGGGAGGAGGCAGATCCAGCAGTAATTTCAATGTGCTTTCCACTGATCTCTGTAAGGATTTTGCCTTCAGCAGCTGAAAGGGGGGACCAGGAAGGATGTTATTCTGTTAATATGCTATTCATATGTTATTCAATGAATTCTGTTAATGTTCTATTAATGTGTTATTCTGTTAATATGTGCTGAAGATAAATCCAGTTTCTTTGGGCTGGGAGGAGGCAGATCCAGCAGTAATTTCAATGTGCTTTCCACTGATCTCTGTAAGGATTTTGCCTTCAGCAGCTGAAAGGGGGGACCAGGAAGGATGTTATTCTGTTAATATGCTATTCATATGTTATTCAATGAATTCTGTTAATGTTCTATTAATGTGTTATTCTGTTAATATGTGCTGAAGATAAATCCAGTTTCTTTGGGCTGGGAGGAGGCAGATCCAGCAGTAATTTCAATGTGCTTTCCACTGATCTCTGTAAGGATTTTGCCTTCAGCAGCTGAAAGGGGGGACCAGGAAGGATGTTATTCTGTTAATATGTGCTGAAGATAAATCCAGTTTCTTTGGGCTGGGAGGAGGCAGATCCAGCAGTAATTTCAATGTGCTTTCCACTGATCTCTGTAAGGATTTTGCCTTCAGCAGCTGAAAGGGGGGACCAGGAAGGATGTTATTCTGTTAATATGTGCTGAAGATAAATCCAGTTTCTTTGGGCTGTGAGGAGGCAGATCCAGCAGTAATTTCAATGTGCTTTCCACTGATCTCTGTAAGGATTTTGCCTTCAGCAGCTGAAAGGGGTGACCAGGAAGGATGTTATTCTGTTAATATGTGCT